GCTTTGTGAAAACGAATCAGTTCCCTGTCAAATCTCCCCCTCGGGAAGGTTCACCAGAGCGCTTGGGAGGAGACAGATCGTCCTGCGAATGGTTTCCAACCGTGTTGTCCTCTTCGTCCTCTACTACGTCCGCAAAGGGATTAGGTCCATATGAGAGCATTTCACGAAGGTCACGATTGGCAGAAGCAACCTGTGGATAGTTTCGCTCTTTCTCCTCCTAATCTTCCAATTGTCTCTTCTGGAGATGCAAAAGATCCACAGTGACCTGGAGGCTAGAGACTCTTTGCACATCTTGAGCAACCTGCTGGATCGAATCTGCAAACAGGGTGCGGGAAGACCAATTATAAGGCTTTGCCTTGAACTGATCATCCCAAGTAAGTGTTGTAGTACCCAATGGCAAAGAAGAGCTGTCATGGAGCCAGACTGGTGAGAGGAAATCCAAGATCTGCATGAGCTTATCCTGTATAAGGAGTATCACTCGTTGAATAAAGGCATCCTCGTGAGAATGAGTATAGAGAGAGTAGGAGAGCTTGTCCATAGCTGACAGAAACGTAGACAGTATAGATATATCGCTATCAAACTCTTGGGAGGTTATCGTAGCTGACATTCCATGAGTACCGGTATCTTCAACAACGAAGCAGGGTGCATAGAGTCTATCACGTATACAATGTAAAGAAATGAAGGCCATATCCAAGTTAGAGTTAATGTCGAATAATACTGGTCTGGGAGGAACCGTGAAATTGGATGAGCTTGGTGATGGAACTCAAATCCTGTGAACCAATCTGCAGTCGATGTTGTACACTGTAATTGAAACTTGTCTGCAAAACAATGTAGGACTGATTCGAGGAGTGTTGCGATGAAAGATGGTCAAGAGCACTGGTTGGGTGGTAGCTGTCAGTTGTTAGATCCTGGAGACTAGGGTCGACTAACGCAGAGGCCAAACCACCCGACCTGTTAACCGGAACCGGAGCCCAATCTGTAGTCTGAGAAGTTGATGGAGTTCCCAAGCGTTGAAGTATGACTGTAGGGATGGCTTTCATGAAGGAGTCAAACGATTGTTCCGTACTCTGCTGTTGATCACGGTGATCTCAACTCTCAACTAGGTGGACAAGGTTCCGGAGGAGCCGACCTAGTTTGAATGCAATCCGTTGATCTGTGAACTGAATGAGATTGGCTTCGGGAATGGCTCTGACGTTCGCGATCCCCATGTGTTGACGAACTACGATTGTTAGTTTTAGAAAAAGGTCGGTGATTGTCATCATACAATGGACGTTCCCTAGGAGGATGGCGGAGTGGAGAATAATCATAGTTGCTAGTAGAGCGGTAGTCGTGAAAACTTGGTGGGTATGGGTATCCGGGTCATTGGTAGTAAGGGTCTGGATAAATCTGGTAAGCATCCCAGGTATCGGATAGTTCCCATAGTTGTAATCGCCATGTTGAGGAAGACCGATCCATGCTGTAGATAGAACTTCCTGTAGGCAAGGGGCGGTCATACAAAATCGAACATGAACGTGAATCACGACGATCGCGGTGTGGATGTTTGTTCTCAGCCGCAGAGCGCTGTCCCGATCTAGAGTGCTGATCCTGGGAGCAAGAACACTGATCCTGGGAGCTGGAGTGCCGATCCTTATTCTTAGAATTAGATCGTTGATCCTTACTGTGACAACCGGGAGTGACCCCCAGGAGCTAGTAGAACCAATGTTCTTATCACGATCGGCTGCAGGAACGGATCAAGTCGATTCCAAGCGTGACATCTTAAAGGTGGTTGTGTGATCGGTCGCTTCAATGGGAATACGATCGGGATTGGATAGAATGAACATCGACTTGTATAGGAGAATGTGAAGCGTTCACTAGGTCTGGATTGGAAATATCATCCATGAGAAAACTGTCAGAAATCGTATCATCTGTGACAGAAAGTAAAGTTTCTTCTGAGCTGGTCTTGGATTTCTTAGTTGAATCCTTGGCCTTGGAACGGTGATAACCTGCAAAGACATCGCTGAAGATAGACGAGAAAGGCAGAATCAGGCATGACACTCTGCACACTGTGAGTTCAATGAACACTGCCCGCGACAATCACAACATAAGGAGTGAGGGACTAATGTAGAATAAGTGTGTCAGCATTCTTTGCATACCGCTCGTTGTATGTCCTTTTTGTCCATGTTTATAGGCTGTGTAAATCTTCACAGAACTTGGCAAGGGAAAAACAAACTTCTCTTAAAAGTCAAAACACATCACCACACAGTGGCGATGAGAAAGAGAATGAGTTGGCAGAGGTATGCACATGGTCAGTAGGATTTTGTAGGATTAATACTGTTAAAGGGAAACAACACTCCAACTCTCAGGTGTCTAGCTGACACAGTTTTAATTAGCCCCCATAATCACCAGATGCCAGTAACCGTCAGTGACCCAACAAACTGGGCTTCGGACCAGCAATGGGGCAATCAGCAGAACCTCATTGACAGCGACGGGGAAAAACCCATTGAATCCTCACATTTGATTGGATGATGCTTACTATAACCTTTAACCTAGCAAATTTGTGTGACATGTGTAAATGTGTATGTACAATTATGTAGTTTAGTAAATAGAGATTATCATGCTTGTAAGTTTGGGGATGGTGAATATCCTGTATTAGGAATAAACATTGTATAAATACATAGTGTTTATTCCTAATACAGGATATTCACCATCCCCAAACAAACACAAGCCTGATAACATCTTTATCACAAACTGTCATTCTTCAATTATGTGCTTGAAAATCTATTCCCATCTCTCACAAACAATACCTGAACATTGCAAGTTTCCTTGGAATGTGCGAATTAATATATATTACGTCAGATGGTTAGTGATGTGTCAGTCGGACCTTGACAGTAGCCAATATAGTTCCAACTGAAACCTGTTTCTTTTTCAGTGGCTTAACTATATATATGCTATATATGCAAAACAACAATTGCCTACACAAATTGTTTGTACTTGACTTTCGCGGCAATCCAACTATTCTTATATGTGGCAAAAGTTCAAGCCGCAGAGGTCTACAAGCACAGATATGGCAACTGATCCCGCTTAGCTAGTGTTCTCGCAAAATCATTTCGCAATGTATATCTCCAAGTTTCCAAAACTTGTAATAGGCCTTAACTACATCACAATTAGACACTGATTTTCAGCATATCAGACTATTCTTTTGATAATGATAGCATTATCCCAGTAGTTTCTCCAGATTCCCAAAGGTTAATTCTGACTCGATCGACGAATGACAAGGGCAACGCCATGTTTGTTTGCAAACACTGAAAGTGATCCCTACTTGACCTTTGACCCCAACAGAAACTGTTTTTATTTTTTTGCTTTATCCTGCCGAGAAACCTACCCATTATATGGTAAACAGTAAATACATGTCCATATTATCTTTTCCAACAATGAAGTTCAGTTAAAAAAATCAAAACAGCAACAACCCTTATTTTTCAGGAAAATTGCATACAATAAAAACTACTCCATTCTTGTCACCCATGTTTCATGGTATAACCGTACACCTGTGAATTTGTCATCATTCACTTCATGCTCATTTAATGACTTTATTTTGGTATATTTAGTGGTAGAACCACTCAGATTACCTGATAAAAAAACTTTGCAAAATCACTAAATAACATTCATCCGTGCCTCTGAGGTTGTTAAGGATATATTTTGCAATCGGTCATTTGCATTTGGCACTTTTGCTGTCAGGGTTAATTATTTAATCTAAGATTGGGTTATTAAACCAGGTCTGATGTGGTGAATTTAGAACATGTAATTTAAATTCACATGACAGCTTAGCAAGAGAGGAATGGTCAGGTGAGTTCCTGCTGTTCTTGCACGGTTATCTTGCACAGAGGATATGTCAAAAGCAAGTGTTTACAAATTTAGGGTTTCCTAAAGCAGGCGGAATACACCCATAACTGGGCGTGAAGTGCCTTTGTAAAAACAACATACTTTGTCAAAAATTGTTCAAAGGATTAACTGAAAAGATGTGATAACTACATAACTGATACCATGTAGTGCTTTGTATTTATTCTGGGTGTGACTGCTATTGTTTTGTAAGGAAAGATTAGCAGCAGACTACCCCTGTTTGTGACATCACATCCAGTGACCCTTTGCAATTGCTGAAACATTGGTATCAGATCTCGCTATCTTTATTTTAGTTTTTCTCTCATCATATTAAATGGAAAATGACAAATGAAAAACGCACAGCAGATGGTCACCTTTTGCCAAGGCATATATACGAAGGCAATGTAAACTTTGTTGATATTAAAATAGCAATACTGCTATCATTACAACACAGGATTTGTATTTTTGTATATAAAAGTACATGTATTCAACCACTTAAAATTATGAATATTTAAATGTTGTTTATTGTATCCTAAGTTCTGACTTCTGAAACAATGGTAATTCCGCATATGGACATGCGACTTCCTGCATGACTATTGTCATGACACACTCTGCCGTACTCGGAAGGTCTGTGCGACTATTGTCATGACACGCACTGCCGTACTCGGAAGGTCTGTGCGACTATTGTCATGACACGCACTGCCATACTCGGAAGGTCTGCGGGACTATTGTCATGACACGCACTGCCTTACTCGGAAGGTCTGCGCGACTATTGTCATGACACGCACTGCCATTCTTTGAAGGTCTGCGCGACTATTGTCATGACACGCACTGCCTTACTCGGAAGGTCTGCGGGACTATTGTCATGACACGCACTGCCTTACTCGGAAGGTCTGCGGGACTATTGTCATGACACGCACTGCCTTACTCGGAAGGTCTGCGCGACTATTGTCATGACACGCACTGCCGTACTCGGAAGGTCTGCGCGACTATTGTCATGACACGCACTGCCGTACTCGGAAGGTCTGCGCGACTATTGTCATGACACGCACTGCCGTACTCGGAAGGTCTGCGCGACTATTGTCATGACACGCAGTCTTAGGGTTAATAAAGTATCCTTATCTGAATAAAGTATGGCAACTTACTTAGACAACTTGTCATCTGATGATGATGACTGAGACCCATCTATGAGGGTGAACTGAGCATTCACCATCTCTGGGGTAAGGTAGATGCCATTCAGGCGAGATTTAGATTCTGCTGTCTCCTCGTCTCTGTAATATAAAAAGGTGATTACTTCAGGGAAGTCACAATGTTCACAAGTTCTCAACTAGAAAAACTGTTTGTAAGCAGTCCAGGTTTGGAAAAACACATGTCCATGCAATGCAGCAGAACTTTCAGAAAAAGATGCTATGCTGTCAGGTACTTTAATTATACAGAGTGTTACACACTTCTGGTCATGGTAACTTGCCACATATTAAAGCAAAACCTGAGGTCATCATTGTTTTCATTATTGTGAATAACACATCATCTTAGTGTTCAGGGAATTATGTCACTGGGCTCACTTGTAAAAAGCATCCCCAGTTACAATCAATATTAGGCACTTACAATCAGCTTAACAATCGCCATACCCAAGTCTTATTCTACTTACATCAACCGATCTCAGTGGGATTGTATGATGGATTGGATCTAAGATCGCTATCTCAGCTAAGATTGAAATTTTCAAAGGTTGATGTATCAACTTAACATAGCAACTTTGCAGATTTTACTACTTTAGGGCATGCTTAATAAATGCTTGACCAAAATCATTTGAAAAATGGAACAGCTCAAAACAGACAAAACAATTGATAGGCTAAATCGTCAGCCCAAAAAAAGATTCACCACTGTTGTTAAAACGGTGGTTGTTGCGCTACCCTCTTTTTACCTCAGATTTTTAAAATGCACTTGGGGGCTTTTCTGTCTTCTTTGATTACCGTGTCCATAACTAAGTTGTCTACTCAGGGGATTAATCCCTTACACGCAATCATTGTGTGGATTAGGGCTGAAGGCAGCAGGTGGTGAGTCATGTAAAGCTATTTACAGACATAAATTGTTCTTTTGGTTATTCACAATGTCAAGATCAAAGTGTTTTTCACACACTCAACAATGTATGCAATGTTGTCATTTCAGTATGATTAACAGCAACAGCCACACCTTTGTCTTGATTAATGTTTGAGTTGTGGCTGCCGCTTTCTGACGTATCCATATAGCGGCTGAGCACTGCAAAATTATATAGTGAATAGACACTGCATATGAGGCAATGAAATTTTTTGTCAAGCACTGCTGTTGATGCGCCGGAAGCTTTAGGCCATGCCTCGAAATAGATAATGACCTTGCCCTTATGATAAAAGATGCAATGACAACCTTCACAAAATACAGAAATACTGAAGAGATTTGTTGTCACTGTTGTGTGGCAAGTCATACAACAGACCCATTACACATTATTATAAGACTGCCTCCGTGGTCTAGTGGATACCAAATTCTGTGTCACACTAAAAGACATACAAAAAATGGTTCTTGTTGTTACCCTGCCTGGCGCTTGGCATTAAGTGGCTAAAAAAAGGACTGGTTGGCTCGGAGTCAGTATACTCTGTCTGAGTGTGGGTATGTATCTTAAACTGTGGCATGGTATCTCAGTGGGTTAGCACTATAAAATCGGCATTAGTCCAGACTAGTGAGGTGAGGTGAAATGGGGTCCGGAAAATTTAAAATCCCAATCGGACATTTGCATTTAGGCCAAGCCCCCTTCAAATAGTGTATTTTAGTACGACTTTTCAAACACATTACAAGTTTACGTATTTATAATATGATGAATATTGAATTGTTTCAATTTAAATTGTTTAATTCACCGGACAATTAATAACAAATAATATCATTTTAGATTTACATGGAAAACATACGTTTGTTTCTGTTATAATAACAATCTGTTAACGTAGTGAAAGGTCTAATTAATATTCATGAGTTATATTCATGAGTCTGTGTACGCGTTGTAACATTTGGATCGAGACTATTATCCCATATTTGGTTATCACGTGACCTCACGGGAAAAGTTTTTTTTTAAACTAAAGATTTTTTTAAAAACAAGACAGATAATTTAATGACAAATACTAAAATATCGTTGATAGCAATAGTTATTTGAATACTTTTTTCATCTGTACTTAATTATTGACCATAAAAAAATTGGATATCGATCGTCCGAGAAAGCAAAATGGCGGTCAATCAAGATTCAATATACGACTAGCTACTGAAAACAATAAAATCTGCAAATCCTCATTGTATGTCAACCAAGTGAAAGTCGTTAGCCACGACTTACAAAATGATCGTCCAGACTTTGAGGGTTTGGCAGATCCGCTAGACTGATCTGCATCGGTCTACTGGCTGTCGTCACGCTTTCAGTAGTATAGGTAATGATGGTTCTGCCGCAACTCCACTAGAGCTGGATTTATTTACCTATACAGCTACTACAGATGGAATTTTTTATGCCAAAACGCTAATGTGATTCAACGATAGTCATGAGATTAAGTTAAATTGACTCTAGCTCACCAATACCTGGAGCCAATCATTGCTTCTATTATTATAAAAATGATGATGCGATTCAACCAAAGTCGTTTTAAAAGAAATATCAATATTAATTAATAATGAATAAAATTTACTATAGCCCACGAGGATATTGGAAAGGTATAGGAGCAATAAAAATATTAGCCACCGCGGCTAAGGTATCTAAAGATGTGGCCAAGGATTGGTTAAGGAAACAAGCGATGTGGCAAATATATTTACCGGCACCCCGTTATATACCGAGGAAGAAGTTTGATATTTTTACAACAAATGAAGTTCATCAGGCTGACCTCTTGTTTCTTCCCCACGACAAGGTAAAACGCAAAACGTATAAATACGCTTTAACAGTAGTGGATGTGGCTAGTCGATACAAAGAGGCTGAGCCATTAACCTCGAAAGAATCAACAGAGGTAGCTAATGCGCTGAGTCGCATATATAAACGCGGACCACTAAAATGGCCCAAGCTATTTCAAGTAGATCCCGGTCGCGAGTTTATGGGATCGGTGACTAAACTGTTAACAAAGAACGATGTCGAAATCAGGCGTGGTGAAAGAGAGGCCCACCGCAGTCAAGCTATCGTGGAAAGATTTAACAGGACATTGGCGGAACGTTTGTTTGGCTATCAGTATGGGATCGAAATGAAATCCGAGCAATTGAGATCAACCGAATGGGTGACACGATTATCAGCCGTTGTATCAGCGCTGAATAATGAAGTAACGAGATTAATAGGGAAGAAACCATCCGATGCTATTAAAATGAAATCCGTGACTTCTGAATCTTCAGCACCAAGGAGAGGCAAAGAACGAAAACTTCCGGATAGAGTAAGGGTAAGATATTTATACCAGCATGGTGAACTCGAAGGAGGTCTACGTCGCGCAACCGATCCCATATGGTCCCTTAAGACATATAACATTAGTCGATTGGTTATGAAAGAAGGAGAGCCTATTCTTTATTATCTTCAAGATGGACCGGGTAGGGCATTTGTACGAGAAGAGTTGTTCATAGCTCCCGACGGTACGGTATTACCACCATAACCATAAGCATAGGTAGTTACACCATCATTATCAATCCATCTCTTTGTATCTAAGGGGGATAATGATGTCTTGTTCATATATCCTATGATTGTAACTTCTTAAAGAGTTCATCTCGTGTTTGAACGTTCTACCGTTGAATAATGATTCTTTATACTGTTCGTGTTTGATATGCTTTTTTACAACGTACTTCTTAACACCCTTAGCTTTTCTTATCTCCCCATTATCGGACTTTTTTATAGAATACATCTCAGGTCTTAATCCTACATACTCCGCTCTAGGGGTCCCAGCACATCCTTCATCTTACCTACACCTTTTTATTTACTACGCTGTGCAGTGGATTATCTTTTGGGTAATCGCTCGTGTCGTACATATCTATTTTTTCTGCCATATCTTTATATACATCCTCGGTTTGTATTTCCATCAACAAAGAATCTGTGTCGGTATATAGCATCTCGCATCTATCGCCGTATTGCTTCTTAAGTTCGTTGTAATAAAAGTCATACATTAAGTGTTTTGACAAGTCGAGAATACTCATACCGACGTACACCAGTCTGTTGAATTTTATATTTCTCTTCTGCATATGCAACGCGGCTAAGTCGTTATCGAATATCTTGCTTCTGTTAAAAGCCGGACTGGCTATAAGTTTCCTGAGTTTTTCTTCCTCATTGGATCTGACTAATTTAACATCAACACGCTTCCTTAGATTCTCCATAGTTTTACCAAATACTGAGTTATTCATGAGCTTATACAGATTCTTTTCGAAATCGCTGGTAGCTATCTTTCTTAAATCTGTGTTCAACCTTATATAGGGCTCCATCCAAGGGCTTTGATCAAACTTTAGAACTCTGTGTATTTTCTTAAGTTTCATACAATACATAGATACAACTGGAGATTTCTGTAGTGAACTATATATTTGGTCTTATCCATCAAATTTGGTACGGGTTTTTCTACGTTAGCTAACCTTGTATTATCCATCAAGGAGTGTTGATATTCCGACATCCAATCTTTATTAACCATTAATCTTTCGGGAGCTAGCAGATAACTGTTATGATCTTTATGTAACGAACTTGGATATTCCAAGTCAACTTCTAGTATGTACCCTTTATTCGCATCATTCACTTCGATATTATCGACCCACTCAAAACCTGCCGTAGGTAAAGGTTGACTCATAGCCCATCCGTACAAATTGTTGGCGTTGAGATATAATATATGCGTGTCGGGTTTACTCGGATCGTATCCTTCCACTAATTTATTATTAGCCTTAGAATACCTTTTCGCCGCCATCGATATACCACCTCTTAATCCTTTCTCAATAAACAAGTGCATACCGTAATCTGTGAGTAGTTTTAGTTCTACGCCGGTCTTCTTCAACAATGCATCCCACGATAGTCCGGGACTGGAATAGTACCATGCCGGGTCCAAGCCGTATTGTTTTAAACATGTCTTTCTAAATATCTCGATTATATATCGGCGAGTAACAGTACATCGGTTTTTAAGTACAGATCGTGATAATCACCTAAATTCTTACAACCTAATTTATCCCAGACCGTCAGAGCGTGTTCATAATCGGCATCTGTTATTTTAGATTCTGTTAAGTTACTATAGAATGATTCGAGGGGTGGTAATTCGGTTTCTTCGAATCTAGA